TTCAGGTCTTCCACTCACACCATCATACTGTATGCATCTGCAGCAGCACCATCAGTGGCTGCATACAGTAGCTTTTTGGAAACATCACATTAATTGATCCCACTTCTTAATTCTTAGAGCTGATCCAGACAAGCCATTGTTTGAGACTGATACAAGTTGAAACTGTAGTCCCTTTGCCCCATCGCTCCAGATTTACTAATGCCAAACTCTCAGACCTGAAGTCAAATTTTCCTTCAAGGTAATCCAGGTAGAGTTTCCACACAAAATGTCCCCTTGCTCCCTTCTTCCCCTTTTCCACTTCATGCCCTTCTCATTCTCCCCAGTCTCCACCTCTGCTCTGTTTCCTTCTTGAGGTTGATATTGCCTGATTTGGTAGTAGAAGTTTCCATTCTGTGAAGAAAGGGATGTTAGTTTCTTCCCAATATGGAGAAAAAAAATGTGTAGTTTAAAGAACAACTTAAAAATTTTAATCCCTAACCCTTTTTTTAAAAAACTGTATTATATTGATCCTGCCAGGCATAAAACAAAGAGTGAGAGGCAGCTGTGCTGGGGAAGGGAAGGAGAACTCCCCCCCCCCATTTAGAGAGGCAGCCACAGGTAGCCCTGCTCTGTGCGGAAGACAACGCTCCCACAGCTGACATCACAACTAATGCCAGGGGGATTTCTAATTGTACATGCCCCCATAAGACCTGCATTTGTTCAAAAGAACAGATGGTGATAACATCTGGAAAAAACAGGCCTGCAATTTAAAAAATTTCCCCAAGCAATTAAAAAAAACCCACCCTGAATGGAAAGGAAGGGGAAGGGATTAACTAGAGAATCCAATAACCCTTCTCTTAAACAGAAGCAAACATGTGGACAGGCTCTTTATCAACTTCAAATGGGATAAGGTGAAGGCAAAATTCTTACTTCTTCCATTCAAGCCTCCCCATTGTTCTACAGAGCTAGGGGGAACTGCCAAGTTCAGGCATTCCGTGCAACCCCTTCTTTTTAGGAACAAGCTTTGATGCTCAAATTATAGCATGTAGATTTTCATCACCTGCTCATGCAACTGTACCTGCATGGAGCATCATCTTAGCGCTGTATCTTCTCTCTTAATTCGGAATGCTTCCCTGCAAAAATTGTTGGACATATTGCAACCTACATATAATGCTTTAAAGGAGTTTCTAGGTGGGAGGATTTTTTCTAGGCAGCAGTGAATGATAATTGGTTTAGTAGCAGCCAATTGTTCTCTTTTTACTTCAAATTCTTTTCCTGCCTTTGTACAGTTAGTCATGCATCTGTCAGTGTCGGTATGGAGCCTGGAGACAGTTAAGAGTGATATGTTCGGTCAGCTATGTAACCAACCAGATAGTCGGTAATGAAGCTAGTTAATCAGTTATGCTCAGTGATGTGAATTGTTAACATTTGTATACAATGTATTTGTTTTCATTATGAAGAATTCTAAGTAAACAGAAGCATTGTATTCTTTCTCATTAGCAGAGTCTCTGAGTAAATGCATTGAGACAGTAAGTACCAACTGAGGTAAGCTAGCAATAAGGAGTGGTTTACTGAGGGAGACTTGAAGTTGAATGTGTTCTGTAGGGTCCTGACTGAACCATTTAATCTGCTATGTACTCAGAAGGAGTTTAGTTTTCATTAAAGCAACACTCAATTTCTTCACACATTCTGCCCCTAGTAAAACAGGATTCCCTTAATTAGTAAACTGCCAGCTTTAACATGTCTGAAAGAGCTGGTAAGGCAGCTATGAATGAATCAGGCACATTCTATGTTTACAGCATGTCATAGAAAATAAATTGCTATGCATAGTACGTAGAAGAAAGTTTGAACATGAAGCCACCTCCCAGGGGGGATAAGTGAGATTACTACTAAATGAAAGCTAGAAGAATTTATGAATGCACAACTCCTACAAACTTGGAAGAACAATAAATAAACAATGCTTTAAATCTCCCTTCTCTTTGGGATGCCTTTCTTCACTGCAACCCCAGCATTCTACATGCCATTCCTGTTTCAACATGGTTTAACTTGCCATCAGATAGGCCAAAATAAGAATTCCAAGTCATTGCTGAACCCAAGCCATGAAATCAACTGAGCCTGTACTGAGGCTGTACTGCGGTGGATGCAGGAGAATGGGCTGAGGCTGAACCCAGGCAGGACGGAGGTCCTGAGGGTGGGTGGCCCCTCCATCTGCGGTTTGGGAAACTCCCTCTCTTTCACGGGGGGTGGGGTGACTCTCACCGTGAAGAGTGAAGTTCGCAGCTTGGGAGTACATCTGGACCCGGCGCTCACCATGGAAACCCAGGTGGCGTCAGTGGTCCGCTCCACCTATTTCCATCTGCGGCGGATTGCCCAACTGCGTCCCTATCTTGATGTTGGGGCACTCACCATTCTGGTCCATGCACTCGTAATCTCGAGATTTGACCACTGTAAAACTGTCAACGTGGGGCTACCTTTGGGGTTGTTGCGGAAACTTCAAATGGCACAAAATGCGGCAGCCAGACTTCTCACTGGGAGGAGAAAATACCAGCACATCTCTCCCACCCTGGCCACCTTGCATTGGCTTCCTATTCGTTTCTGCATCCACTTCAAAGTGTTATGACTTATAAAGCCCTAAACAGTTTAGGACCTCAATACATGGCAGAACGCCTTCTCCCACTTAGATGTATCTACCCGAGTCACTCGTTTTAGCCAGGGAAGACAGGTGAGGGGCCTAACGCCGAGAGGCCCGGAAAGAAAGAACAAGAAACCAGGCCTTTTCGGCAGTGGCCCCTCGACTATGAAACACCTTGCTGCCGGAAATCATCCTGGCACCCTTGTTTTAAGAATCATTTAAAGACCTGGCTTTTCAGGCAGGCCTTCCCTCGAGTCAACACTTGATTTTCTTTTCTCTTTAGTTTTTTTCCTCCATCTTGATCTTCTAATTTGCTGATTTAATTATGCGATTGTTTTACAGTGGACCCTCGACTTACAGACGGCTCGACTTACAAACTTTTCGAGTTACAGACTTCTCTGGCCGCAAAATTTAGGTTCGACTTGCAGCCGGAGAATCGACCTACAGACCAGAAAAAAAAAAACAAAATGGAACAAAAACGGACGGTTACGAGATTAATCAGTATTCAATGCATTGTAGGTCAATGGAGACTCAACCTACAGACTTTTTGAGCTTGCAGCCACCGTTCCAATACAGATTAATTCCGTAAGTAGAGGGTCCACTGTATATATATTCTGATGATTCTATTTGATTGTATTTTTATGTTTTATACTTGTTTGTAAGCTGCCCCGAGTAGACTCTGTCTAGTGGGGAGGAGTAGAAATCAAATAATAAATAAATAAATAAAAATAAAATACGTCCTGAGCCAGAATCCTGTTAGTTACACCCACTGGCATAAATCTCAGCTGGAGTTATACCAGCCATTATAATACATGCAAAAGCAATGGGTTCTAAGTACACACATTGGACACAGAATTTAGAAGTGTAAGAATTGTTAGGCTGGGATATTACGCCTCACATGGCTGAGTACTACACAATCCATTTTAATTGTTTCTTTTTCCTCAGCAGTGCTCCACAGCTGAGATTTAGCCTGCCTAAGAAGTACATCTACAGGTTTTCCTGCCACTGCTTTTCCTATTCCCCCATATCTGCAATAAGCAAGGTAAAGTCTCTTGTCATGTTTCAAACACGCCACGCCAATGCTGTTTCTTCTTCAAAAATATTAGTTGTTGAAGTGCTTGAGACTTATTTCTTGAAGTTGTTTCTCCAACCTGAGGAGGGCACATAAGACCTATCTAGAGCCAAAGACAAGCGTGGAAAGGCCTAAGTCAAAGGAACCAATCAGAGCATTTATAGTCTAATACATTTATACATAACCTATTAAATGGTTTATTAAAATGTAGGGGAGTAAAGCTCGTTGCCATCCACTATACTTGTTTTGCACTCACTTTGCCTACACATTTTTGTCTCGTATCCTTGTAAGAGTCAATGGTACAACAAATGCATAATGAAAGTTGAACATTCAAAAAAGGAACCAGAAATATTCGCGAGAAGCCTTGGCTTGGCTTCAACCCTGAGTCACAGGGTTCACAGCATATAACAAAGTCTGTGTAAATTCATTGTTCGAGCAAGAGGTTTTTGCTAGTACGTCTGAGTCACATATACAGGCTCTCTAAATGACATCCATACAATGCAATAAAGGAGATGCTGGCCCACTTAGTGTTCAAAATAGACCAGAATTATGCAGCTTTCTCTCATTGGCCTGGATAATCCGTTTTAGAGTATATGAAAGCATAGCAAAACTATTTGCTGGAAGAATTTTTAATTTAGCAGTTACTTTGTACCTACTGTGAATGTTAAATGTTCCTTAAAACATTTAACCAAGGGAACATTTTGCTGTCTCAGCAAAGCTTTCATAAATGTTTGAAAAGTATTTCTGCTGCAATTGCTAAACAAATAAAGTATATCATCTATTTACTACAGTTTTGCAGAGTGGTGGCTAACTAACAGGAAAAATAACGTCCCATATATTTGAGATACTTTCTAAAGAACAAAACATATTGGGGAGGATGATTCTTGGGAACTGTTTTTCTCAGTACTTCCTTATATATCAGCAGCTCCATTTGGAGCCAATCATACCATTTGTACTCATGTGATGTGGGTAAAACATCAGGAGATCTTTTACATGTGAAAACAAAATTAGGATGAAGCAAGTTTATGAAAGCATACTGTACTTGTTTGACTAGAGAAAAGGTTCAAAATGTAATTTTCGGTCCTAAACCACTGCCACTGTAAACATAATAGCCCACTGGTCCTAAACATAGCAGGTCAGCATGAGAAGTACAGAATGTTGTGGCTATAAAATGAGACATTAAAAGATGAAACTTAATTCACATTTCCCAAGGAAGAAAGGCACCAAATGCCTCTGTATGGTTTCTGATGGCTAACAAATTTCCATGCTCTGTAGTCCAAGAATTCACAACAGAATAAGAGATCCACAGCCATGTTCGAGAGCTCATAGTTTCATTTTATGGTTTAGCAAAAACAAACAGAAATAATAAAAAGAAATACACAACAAACCATGACAGTGCAGGAAGAACAGCAGACCATGCGCTGCCCTCACTGAGTTCCGCAAAAAAACACCCACCCGCCCCCACCCACAGGATCAATAATCTCCAATGTAGTTTTCCAGGATGGGGCAGAATGGAAAATGAAAATTATGTGGCAATTTGTGCACTGAGAATAAGCTGCTGCTGACAGACTAGGCAGAGAGGACAACAATGTCCAGTTCAAGATGCACAATCCAGTACGTTCATATATCCCTTGTTCACAACGAGCCCTTACCCACACATTTGTCAGTTCAGAAGTCACCGAAACTCTGGTTTAAAAGAGGTTATCTTCTCTGAAACAGTGTGTGCAAGGGGAATAGGAAGGAGCAGACAGCAAATGAATAGGTACACAGATGTATCCTGTTAATTAATCATGTTTTCCCCAACTGAGATCATGACGTCAGAGCCAGATCACATCTGGACGTGGACCAAAAAAATAGCATTAGCTATGTAAGTCCCATGCATGATCTTTTATTGGAAACAGGAGGCGGCTAGTTCACAGCTTTATATTTCATGGGGGTAACCTCTTGTCAGTGACATGTTAGCACAAATCTCACTGACCGTCAGAGCACACACTAGCCATTCTCTGAAATGGAAAGGCATGAAGTTTGACTTCCAATAAATGAATTCCCTTAGGTCACCATTAATTTGGTTTCCGCATGACATTGTGAGCCAGTGATTCCTGCATAGATGCTCCTAAAAGAACACACAAAATACCAAGTTTAGCTGGCCATCATCTTGGGGGGTGAGTTATGTCCCAAAGGCGACTTGGAGATAGCTGGAAAATTTGGCTTTTGTTTTATGTAATTTACTGTATCTGTTATTTTAGCTTCTACTTAAAAGATGTAGAAATGCAAATGACTGGGTTCATTCTTAAATTTATTTCACCTGATCTTAAACTAACCTGACCAAATTTTCTGTCTCCTTGTGCAGCAACTCAGCAAGCCTAAGGTTATTTAAATAAGAGTTCTCCCTCTCTTCTGGTAAAAACCAGCACAAACGAATGATAAAACTGTTCAAAAAAATCTGGTGCTCCTGGAAATATATGTAACAAGGCTTCATGTCATAAAATGCAAGCTAGCAATTTCTCCAGCTCCTGTTAAATGCAACCTCAATCCATTCCCAGTTCTGTGGGCCCACCAAGGCCTATGAAAATCTGATAAGGTATTGCACAGTATCACTGTGACCCAGGTAAGCTTCAAGCTTGCAGAGATCTGTCATTTTGCTAAGGGGACTGACAAAACCAGGAGGAAGCTGGCTTCACCCCCCTAGACCTTGGGCCCACTTGTGATTCAAGGGCAAAACAACCAAAGTTGCTAAAGTTTGCCCACCTTTCTCCTCAAGTCTCTGGAAATGCATTATGGCATCTGTTTTGGAATAAGACTTTTACCCAAGAGATTGGTTGCTGCCCTGGAAACAAATATGCAGGCACTTTGTCACCATGGAGCTTTCACAAGCTTGTCAGTAAGCATGATAAACAACTGCAGTATGAGTCCTTTCTCAAATGACACTGCTGTGACTTCCTGGAGGATTTCTTTTTTTTTTAAACCTACATCCGTTCCACACATCCCAAGTAATTCATTCACATGAGTTTGTTTTTAGCATACTCTTTCCCCCTTTTATCTTAGGAGGATGACCTCTTTAATGGAGAAGAAAGCAGTTCAGGTCACCCACTTTAATGCTTCTTTTTTACTTTGCCTCTTGGAAGTTTTCTCAATTAAGAGTGCGGAAGGATGCCCCAAACTGGCCCAACGGACACTAGATTTCATAAGCTCATGAATACTGACAAGGAAGGCAGCCACAGATCACTCTAACACATTCAGATGTACTATGTGAATACTTCATTCGCATTACCCGAAAACAAGGTATGAAAGAGTTAGAATAGAAATTAATTTACCTAGCATTGTTTTGTTTTTAAAAACGAAAACTACCCCTGGAAATCCCATGGCTCTACCAGCTGGGAACACATATCCAAGAAGCCTGAATGGCTAAAAGAGGTTTCATCCTGGGGTTGGGGGGGGGGAGAGGGGGCTCCCCCAGAAGGGATGCTCCCTCCCTTCCAGGAAGGTCCAGAGAACCATCCTCACAGTATACATTGTCACCTATCCACGCGTCGCAGTTGCTTTCTTCTCCTCCCACCACCCCTTCCCTCATTACACATAATTGCAAAGTTCCATCCCTTGTCAACCCGACAGTTTTCAACAGTCAGCTGGGTGCAGCCATTATGACTGCAGTCTGAAGAATCAGTGTCCTCTGCATGCCCAGCAACGGTGCAGCACAGGCTGTTCACCTAACAGGAGGTGGCAACATGCTATGGGTAGCAAGATGCATTTCCTTTGCTTTTTGCGGTTCTCTGTTGGTGTCCAGGTGCCAAAACAGGCAATGAGGCTATGCAGGTGAGAAACGATGTGGCAGGTTCAAGACCATTGTCTATTTTAAGATGATGTGGTAACTATCATTGGTTTCAGCTGCAAAGAAAGCATGGTGTCATCAGAGTCTGGCTACATAAAACAGAGAGCAATCCCCCCTGTTTTCTGCCCACATTCCCCTGAAATTAATGAAAAGCAATGCTGATGTATTACTTTGCATATCAGTTTGGATACCCTAGGGTGGGAAGGAAACTCAGTGTGTTCTAGAGAAAAAGAAAAGCAGACATGGGATAACACAGGTCTGGGCTTAAAATGAGTACCTTTCATGGTGTCCAAGACAAAACATGATTCATCCTGAAAGTTCTGTATCATCTGAAAAGAGAAATTTAAAAAAACAGATAGAAGCAGTTGTTAACCATTCACAAAGGAGAATGACAATGTCTTTTGAGACAAAAAGCATTCAAAGAAGGCGATTCCTCCACATTTTCTTAGTCATACACTTCTATTGAGAAAAACACAAAGACCTAACAGCCTGATACATTCTTTAAACAGGTATTATTTAAATAATTGTTCCCAATGGCAAAGGGCTGGGAAGAGACTTATTTAAAAACAACTTGTCTTCCTGCAGGACTTTTCTTTATGACTTCAAAGGATACAGAACCACAATGTTTCATTTCATTTCTCTGGGATTATTCACCGAATCTATCCAATTACCTTAGCTCCTGCTCTTGCATAATCTTAGAGTCCCCCACAAAGACAATCTGGATACTATTACATATTGCCAGTATGCTTGGTGCTTAGCTCTTGTTCACTTTCCCTCTCTCAAAGGCTTCTTTAACTGCCATGCAGTCATTCCCACTTTAGTTCAAGGCAGAGATGGGCCAATGTGCCATTACAGATCACTTTGGCCTACGACTCTCCATCACCTCTGGATAAATGAGGAAAATGTAGGAGTTGTCATCCAAAAACCTCTAGAAGAGGACAAGGCATTCACTCCTAGTTTAAGGGTATCTAGTCTATTGAGGGTGGTTCAGAATTTGAAGATGGTTTTCAAGCCCCACTTGCAATGGACTTGCATGTTTAAGTCTGTTCTTGTTGTGATGTGCCTCAGTGAAGGATCCCAGCACTCTACACAGGACTCTGAAATGGCCATTTCAGCCTTTCTTGGCCTATTCTGAAACTACTGAGGAAGGCCCTCAAAAAGCAAAGAAAAGCAACACATTTGGAAGCAGTACAATCTTTGCCCGCTTTTGAGATCTCCCTGTGCATCCATGGGGCCTAGAAAACAGCCTTTTGTCGCATGGAACACGCTGTGTCTCACTCAGAAGCTGCAGTTCTCAAGACACTGATCTCCGCATGGTGCAGATATGCATATTTCATTTTTTTTAACACAGCTTTTTCTTGGCACGGAACAAGCAGCGGCTACTCAGTGCAAATCCTCTGTGTATCCACCCTTTTACAACTGATTTACTTCTTAACACCTCTCCTTCATCTGGACAAATTCTACCTGTGATATGGCTCTAGTCCAGTGGTTCCCAACCCAATCAAAACACTGGTAGACCGTGCAAATCGGAACTGTGAAGCTCAGTTTCTCAGCACTGAACTCAATCATCTGAATTGGGCCCTACAGGCAAATGGCTGCTCCAAAAATTAAATCACAAGAGCCATCAAACCTAGAAAACACCAACAAACTGAAGAAGAAAAACAGCCACCCACAAAGAAAGTATTTCTGCCATACATCAAAGGGTCACGGACCGCATGGGGAAACTTTTGAAACAACACAACCTACAAACAGTATTCAAGCCCACCACAAAAATACAACAAATGTTACAGTCAGCAAAGGACAGAAGGGACCCCCTCACCACTGCAGGAGTATACTGGATACTTTGCAGTTGTGGCCAGGTATACACTGGAACCACAAAATGAAGTATCCACACCAGAATCAAAGAACATGAGAGACACTGCAGACTAAAACAACCAGAAAAATCTGCAGTAGCTGAACATGCCTTAAAACAAGCTGGACATGAAATTCTATTTCAAAACACTGAAATATGGACAACACCAGCAATCATTACGTCAGACTGCACAGGGAAGCCATTGAAATCCACAAGCACCAGCAGAACTTCAACACAAAAGAGGAAAGTTTGAAACTCAACAAAACTTGGCTTCTAGCTCTGAAAAATACAGTGTGCAAAAGGTCAATGACCTCTACCCAGCCACAAGGACCGGGGACCACTACACATAAAAAAAGCTAATAACACCCATCAATCATAGTGACAGATAATCTCTTCTACTTATCACAACAATACACCCACAACAAGACACACTAATCACCCATCTACTGAATAGGACAAAAGCCTATCTCGCAGCCATAAATACTCAACTCCCAAGAAAACTACACCAGAGCACAGAGTGCTGTCTTCTGAAGATGCCGGCCACAGAGACTGGCAAAATGTTAGGAAGAACAACCTTCAGAAGACGGCCAAAGAGCCTGAAAAACCCACAACAACCATCTTTATCTGAGTGAGGATCCCCTTGATGTCTGCCCTTGAATCTCCTGCTTTGAATGGATCCTGGAACACCTTTTAGGTTGGATAGAAGACTGATGGTTATCTATGAGTATCTACAGGTTGACAAGGGATGAATAGTTTAAAGATAGCAACTTAAAGTCTTTTCTTCCATCTACATTAGACTGTTAGAGACAGCTTTATACTACTATATGCAAATGTACCCAGAATGTGGCTTAAGGGATGCAGCATGTAACTGGTTCTTCCCCTTGAGCCAAAGCAGAGTTCCAAAACAACAAAAGAGATCCTCACAAGCTTGAAGCCCCTGTATAAAACTGAGAACATGTGTTCTGCTTATGTAGATGCTCAGCCTCATCATTGCCCATACCTGAACTGGCAAGCTGACACTTCAAACAGAAAACATGAAAGACTCATATGGTTCCACATTCCTGAGTATGGTCCACAATGGAGGGCAAGCTGTTTTTTTAAGGAAGCTTGGCCACCATGAGCGATCTTGCTGAAGACCTTCAATAAGCACACAAAGACTGCAGAGCTTCTGTGATAGAGGCATGTGGTTCTACATGCTCCACATTTTGAACACATTTTTCAATATGTATGGATATAGCAAACCCACCTGGACTGGCTACACTGGTATGCAATTTTTTTAGACATCATCTGCTTCAGAAATAAAATGTGCTATTTATTATATATGTTGATATGCAGAATTAAAATATGACAATTAAAACAACTGATTAGCTACTACTTCCAAGATATTTAAGTTTCGACATTTTACATCTATGTCAATCAATCAATCAATCAAAAACCTTTAATGGCATATACAAAATACCTTGACGAAAACTACATTCAGTAAAACTTGATTGCAACTTTCTGGTACAATATCAAAGTTTGTTTAGCTTTAATGTAGTTTTGCTATTTATAACGCAAGGCACACTCTCCACCCTATCCTGTGTACTAAATAAAAATAATAATACAAACTTTTATTGTCATAATTAACCCAATGATTACATCAGAAGATCCTTAAACCTGGCTCAAGGAGGGAGTGCTGGTTCAAACTGTGCTATTTTGGCATGTTCACTATGTGTGCTGTGAAACATGCTACTTTCTCCACCCTGTCATTTAACAGAAAACACATTCTGTCTATATTTGACCACCCTTTTACCTTAAGCAATATTGGGCCCAGATATCGAGGGCGGGGATCAGAATAGTGAGGGCAATATAAACACATGCATTGGGCCCAGATATCGAGGGCGGGGCTCAGAATAGTGAGAGCAATATAAACACATGTGTATAAGCGACTCAATTCCTCAGAAGCAGTTCCTCTCATTGTAAGGAATACCCTGAAACCTGCCAGATAATACTGTATTGCTGAAGGCATTACATTAAATGGGGCCAGGGAATATGCGCTGCGCTTTTGAGGCAATTGTAGTAGATGACAGTATATAGGGCCCTCTGGCCCTGCCTAACAGGAAGCAGGTGGTTTTTGGGGGAGAAGACGTCTTATTGGCTGCACTCTTAGGAGAACCTGGAATTCGATCTCTAACATCCTGTGTTTAATCAGCCGAAATGCTTCCTTGTAGGGCAGGGAGCCCAGTGATTACACTGACAGGCCTATTAGCAAGATTTTCTTTTCAATATGGGCAAGCTCTCTAGCAATGGTTGGTTCTCGGAAAATTTGATGTAAAAAACTGCTCTCTTTGAAGTTATAATGGATCAACCAATATTTGATTGATCTCAGCCATGCCTGAGTTGCTACCATATTTTGGCCCGTCTCTAAACAGAGGGCCGCATATGGCACATAAGTTGATACTTCCATAATTTTCCGCAGGAACATAGATTGGATTTGCTCTAGGGAATGATCCCAGGGCTTTATCCATACAGTACAGTATTGGGAAATTGGTCCTCTAACTCATCAAGAAAATTGGACAGGAGATCCCTCTGCTGATCTAAAATTGACTGAGTAGAATAGGGAGGCATGTAAATATTAACTACTACAAGAATTTTTCCATCGAGGGATCTCTTAATAGCTAGGAAATTACAGTTAGAACCCAATGTTGCTATTAGTTTGGAATTTAAGTCAGTGGCAACCAATGTGGCCATGCCAGCCTGTGGATGCCCTTTAGCCTTAAGTTTACATGCAGGTGGGCTAAATATTTTAAAATCTGGGAGCTTTAACTGTGATTGCTCCTGTAGCCATGTCTCTTGCGGGAGAATGATATCGAATCCTTTTAAGTAGACCAAAAAGTCCTCATCTGTTACTTTGGACTTCCAGCCTGCAGCGTTACATGAGATGGCTCTTATTAGTGAAGTGCACAGAGCACTTGAATGGTTTTCAATCAGTCAGTTCTCTTGATTCCTCTGTGCACAGACTGTGTAAGTTCTGCCTCCCTGTTCTGTCTGTATTCCTCTGTACCATGCCACTGTAGCAGGATTGTTATCTGGATGTAGCTGTAGTGGTCCCTGACTATACACTTGCCTCTATAGCCAGACTGATCATCCAGGAGTCATCGTTGGTTCTTGAAATCAGTGGGTAAATAGTTGAAGTGTCTGCAAAATCAGGTTCAGCTGTATCAGACCCTCCAATGTGGGTCTCTGCTCCTCCTTCATTATCAAGGGTGGGCTGATGATGGATTTGCACTGAACCGAGGACTGATTTGGACAGAAAGAAATGCGAGGTGCCGCATGTGAAAAGCGAGCTTCCGCTGATGGCATAGGATTGGGCCACTTGCTTTCATCTTCTGAGTATTCAGTGGTGGCCTGTGTGCTTCCATGTTGTTAATTAGCTCAGCCCTCACTTTATCCAGACTATTAATAATCTTCACCTGTTCCATTCTGGGTAGCGCTTTGAAAGCAGTGGTAGCCTCTTCCACGAGTTCGTCAACATCAGTGTCCAACTGCATTAGTAAAACTTTGCTTGGGGCTTCAATTTCCTCCTTGTTACACACATCCTGAAGCTGGCCCTTGCACTGACTGGAGGGACTTCTAGAATCGTACTGCTGGTTAAATATTATTTCCTAGGTTATGATAGGCTCCTGAATTGAATTTTCTGGGTTTGTCCATCTGGATTTTGGGCTTTGGGCAGTTGAGTCGTTGGATTTTGTGCATTTGAAATTCCCTTTAGATTATCAAGGGAATGTTCAAGGCACTTTGTCAGAGTCTCCAATTTTTCCAAGGCATCAGGCTCACATAGTCCACAATTTGCCATAACATCCAGCCGGTAGAAGGCTTCAGGTTGCTTCCTAGCTGGCCTCTCAGATAGATTTTGTCTTGGAGGCAGGCCAGTTTTTGCTGGTCTTGTAATCAATGAGGAGAGTGAGCAGAGCTGAAACTTTCCCAAGGTCACGCTGGGGGGGAGACTTGCATCTGCATCCACAATATAGAAAACTCATTTAGTTGCTACTGAAAAGGTGTTTAAGAATCCACTCATTCTGAACAGCATAAGGGGAATTGTTGGTTTATAAAATTCCATCCGAAGCCAAAGCGTGAGATCGGTAAGCTTACAATACTTTTTAGGTCAATTTGGAACACTTCAATCCATGGCAATTTGCTTAGTGAAACGAGCACCTTCTGTTTGACCATTTGCCTTTGTTTGTATAATTATCTGCAATTTCTAGGATTATTTGAGTCACTATTAGGTATCGGGAGGTGGACGTGTTGGCTGAGTTTGCCTCTAAAGTCTTTCCAGCCCATCTGTATCTACCTAAATTAGGCCCCTTGCCTTTCCCTAGAATCAAGTGTGGGGTGAGTAAGTGATGGTCTAGAGGATCTTTTTCTTTTTGTATGTCTTTCCTGTTATTATAGTGTTCCCCCAAATGTTCTGACAGATGATGGTCAATCACCTCCAGATTCTTTGAGGGCATTGCATTCTGTTTGTCTCCTACCAGAATTTCTGATCCACTAAAGGAAATGAATTATGCTCTAAAGCCAGTATAGTTTCTTTTAGCTCGTTCCTCCACTAAAGGAAATGAATTATGGTCTAAAGCCAGTATAGTTTCTTTTAGCTCAGAGGGAGGAGTAGTAGTGGAGGACTCCTGTGCCGCATTCTCACTGTTTCTTTGTAGGTCTGCAGCCAAGACCGAAAATTTATGTAACATTTTTAACTAAATCACTTACAGTTTCTGCAATGGTCAGATTCATTACATCATCCAGTCGGAGTTGTTTTGAAACCTTGACAGGTGAGTTTGAGTTTGAAGGAGTTCTCTGTCGCTTCTTCTTCCTTCCCATAGTAATTTTGTGCCAGCTCCAACCCTACCCCCACCACAGTCAGAGATAAAAAGTATTCAGCCCAAAAAAGGGATCAATTAAAACTTAAAGAAATCCTCTGATTCACACCAGCTTAAGGCACAGTTAAAACAAAATAAAACCTAGAAGATGCGGAGTAAGATAATAATAATAGAAGGGGAAAGAGGGGAGCGTCAGAACGTCTGTCACCAGCTGACAGCTATCTTGTATCCATCCCTTTTTGTTGTTTAGTCGTTAAGTCGTATCCTACTCTTTGTGACCCCATGGACCAAAGCATGCCAGGCCCTCCTGTCTTCCACTGCCTCCCAGAGTTTGGTCAAATTTATATTGATAAATTCATCCATCCCTACATCTATGTATGTTGTGTAGATAGTAGAGTTTTTATCATAAATTGTAAACCTAGGTCTTTTTGTGTCTTTATGGTTGCTTTACATGACATTTCACCTGTCCTGTTTATGTTTAAAAATCAGTCAAAGAATGATATAAATAAAATTTATTATGAAACGAAAGGCAAAAAAACTATTATATACATAGTTTATTCCCATTCAGTGTCTACTTAGCATTTTTTGGCTTGTCTCTTGTATTCACTGAATGGAGTATCACTTATCACTATTTAGCAATAGTCTGCAGGCATTCATAGGCGAGTTCCATTTGCCCTGATAGTGTTTCTTCATTGTTGCAATATCCTGGTGAAATTGCTGGCCATGTTCATTACTCACTGCTCTGCAGTGGGGTGGATAAAAAATCTAAATGAGAGTGCAAAATGTATCTTTTGTGACATGTTGCAAACAAGGCTTTTGTATGCCTTGAAGAGATTTTCCACCAATCTGTAGTTGTCTGCCTTGTTGTTTCCAAGAAAATATATAACTGGAAGGCTTTTCATGCTGTCTTTTCTTAGTTATGCAATGCATGATCAAATTCATCATCTCAAAGAAGTCCACAAATCTGAGGACCAACAAAGCCATCTTTCTTTATCTTAGCTTCACTTAACCTTGGAAACGTTCAATGGAAATACTTGAAAGCGTCTTGTGTTTTGTCCATGGCCTTGACAAAGTTCTTCATCAGACCTAGCTAGATGTGTTAGGGTGGTAACAAAATCTTCCTTGATTCAACAAGTGGTGGATGCTCAACACTTTTCCTCTCAGGTTCCAATGACTATCAGAGTAGCCAATCTATCTTGATGCAGTCAGAATCTCTTGCGCAACTCTCCCATTTGCAGAGAAAACAGCAGTACTTTGTGTATCCACTCTGCAGACCAAGTAAGCAAGCAACAACCTTCATATTGCCCCAATGCTGCTGCTGATGTTGCTCATAGTTTATGCACTTCAAAAGTTGTTTCATGTTGTCATACGTTTCTTTCATATGGACTGCATGACCAACCGGAATGGATGGTAAAACATTGCCATCATGCAGCAAAACAGATTTGAGACTCTTCTTTGATGAATCAATGAAGTCTCCACTCATCTGGATTGTGAACAATGTTGAGGGCTGCCATCACACCATCCATGTCATTGCAGGATAAAACTGTTCTGCCTAAAAAGCAGGTACTGTCCAAACCCAATCATAAATTTATTCATGATCCAGTCAAAGATGTATCTTACTCATTTCTGGTTTAAATTAAGATGCCTTCCCTTTATAATTCACTTATCCTCTGCCATTCCCAAGTCAAGGGTTGTATATACTGACCCAATAACATATCTTGAAAGCTAGAGCCAATCAACCATTTTAACCTTTGTTTTCATTCTCAATGACACAGAATTAGTAAGGTTTGACTGCATTTATTTTGGAAGCATTTTGGCTGCAGACCAGTGTTATCAGTGTGAAAATAGGTTAGATCAATTAATTAACCATTATTAGACCACTTAAAACCAATAAGCCTTACATTAATTTAACACAGCCTTTTTCAGCTTGGTACCTACCATGTTTCTTGAGCTACAAAGTATCTTGAGATGACAAGATACCTGACGGTTGGCCATGTTGCAACTCTTGAAGATGACATGAGTTGAAAACAGCTGGAGTGTATGGCTAGTAAAGACTGGCCTAACTTGCCTAATGTAAGTCCCATTGATTTCAGCGGGTCCACTGCAAGCATGACTAAACCTGAATCAACTCAATGAACAATGCTGCACTGTTATAAAAGCAGATTTCTATTCCAGTGTTTCTAAAGATTTCCCATGGTGCTCCTACCTCATCACTGATGAGTACATGTATCCCTGTGGGCCCTTGTTTGTAGATCTGGCTGATCTGCTGAGAAGAAATGCTGAAGAGTTGGGCAATTTTCTCTGTCAGCTCTACAGCAGTCAGCTCCTCCAAGTAGATGGCATGGTACACTGTGGAGGCAGAAACAATTCACCGAAAGTACATAAAGGATAGAAGGAGCAAAGCACAAAGCTTAAAACATGAGCAGCTATGAACAGTTGAATAATGTACCTCCTGGAGGGGAGAAGACACAAGAAGCTGAGGAGAGAAATTTAATAGCTCCTCCACCCAAAATACCACATTTAAAACAGTGCTGCATTTCTTTTATTTACTTGTATTAACCTACCTCACTCAAGACTCTGAAATAATCAAGACCAACTTTAGCTACACAGTTCCATCAACAATATTAAAAATAAATGAAAACAGTTCCTTGACTAAATGCTTGCTTAAACACATTTGATCACTACTTCTAGCAGATACTGCAGTTTCCCAGTTACACAGATCATGGGTATTTCCATGAGGTTTGCATACTGTGTGCTGAACACACTTAGCTTATATGGCTGTCTTTCACTTACAGCAGCCATTCCCAACCTTTTTTTGGCCATGGCCCTTTCAGGAGCTCTTCTCAGGTTCCAGAGCCCCTTGTCAAACAAGCATACAGCACGAATAGATAAACAGAAAAATAGAAAATTTTCAGTCTGTGGCCCCCTTCAAATGTGCCAGTCCCCCCCCCAGGGGGGCTATATGGCCTCCACTTAGAAGGACTGATTTAAAACATAACCAATTAATCTTATTTCTATCAGTTTTAAACAGTTTTTAAACCTACATTGGTTTAGCAGAACTCTGAAGTTAAAAAAAAAAACAGAAGTCAAGGAAAGAACTGGACATCTTTCAGTTGTCAAAACAGGGGAAACAGCAAACATTACAGTGCATATTTATTATTTATTTATTTAAAATATATTTTTATCTCAATTTCCTCCTAAAAAGGACCCAAGGTGGTTTAGATTTTTTATAGAAAGTATAAAAGCTAAAAACAATAATTAATTACAACATTAAAGAGAATTGAACAAATATAGTATTATTTGCTTTGCTTTGCAAAGATCATTCCATTCCAAGAGCCTGTGGCTCCAGGAAAAAAATAAATAAAAGGAGATTGCCTATCCTTCCCTGAAGCCTTTACCAAAGAAAGTGCTGTTGGCTGCATCCCCATCTTCATGCTTCTGCTGGTCCCTCGGCTGCTGTGACTCTTGGCAGACGTAGATGGTCAGCCTTGGCCTCACCATCCTATGGAAAAAGAAAAGTGTGGGCATTCCAGAATTAATAGGGAACAGGAGGTTAAGGGTAAGGGTGGAGAGAGAAGGAAAAAGAGCAAACACTTAATTTCACAGGACATCAGTACTACTTGTAAGATGACAAAAGACTTCACAGTTCAGTTTAGCCAATGTGTACATGTAGAAGAAGGATCTGAGGTACAAAGGATTCTATGGCTTCTTAAGGCTGCTGAAGGACGGCACACTTGACTACTGTACTTCCTTCCAAAAGCATGGACTAAGGCAAAACAACCAGGCTTTTCTTGTTCTTTTCAGTGGAGGGTGTGACGATCGCCCACATCACTCATGCCATTCATAGTCATGAGCTGATTTGCATGAGCCTGTGAGAGGACTGCAGAGGCGGAGTCATAAACTACATGAGGTTTGGCAGCAGAAGGAGGAGTCAGATAGGGCAGGTTAGTCAGAGAGAGAGAGAGGGAACAGATACTGAGAGCTGCTTAAGAAAACAGACAGAGAAGGTGGTAATGAGATAGCAAGAGAAAAGAAGTATGTACTGAGAGAACTGTTGATGATTTGCTTGTGTATAATGTTCGTTTGTTTTATTCGATTTATATCCCGCCCATCTGGAAAATTCTACCACTCTGGGCGGCTTACAGCATAAAATAATACAAAGATATTAACATACAAAAATAACAAAAATAACAGATGGTGTGCAGAAATATAGTAAATAATAGATAGAAAAGAAAAGAAATCTGAGAAATCTCTGTTATCCAATCTGCTTCACTTAAATAAATAAGTTCTGTTTCTGTTCACAAAGTCAAGTGTTCAGACAAACGTCATTTATATTGTGGATTGAGGTAATCCGCTGGTGGCAGCGAGAGGAAAATGTGACTTGAGCCTTTGTGAGGGAAAGACAAGCAGGGGCCACAAGGGCGAACACCACAGAGGGGGATAAGCTGGGGATGAACATTACAAAGCACATGTGCACTCTAGAATAAGGAGAAAAAAAATAACAGGAAGAAAAATTAATGTGGTGGTAGAGAGGCAGTACTACAGGAAAGAAAAACAAACAAACAAACAAACCCAAGCATCTTACAGAGAGAAAAGGGAGGTGGGTAGGGAATACATCAAAACCAGCCATCTTACAAAAAATGTTTTTAAGCACTAAATGTGCACATCTCTTGAGTTAATAAAGTGGCTCCCAAGAGAGACTCGGGTTCTGTTCCCATGTGCCATTAATGATGGTCCTTCTGAATGCACTTTAGTTAGCACTACCAAGATAATTATATGTAAAGAGTTTTAATGGTTTGTTATACATTATTTATGTTGCTCCACAGCAGAGATGAAAGAAAAAGTGTACTGATTCTTTTTTAAAGCTTGCAATTCCCAAACTGCATTCTAAAATACTACAATCTTGCTTATTTATTTATTTATTTATTGACAATTCCCAAACTGCATTCTAAAAGTACTACAATCTTGTTTATTTATTTATTTATTGCTTTGACTTATACACCACTCCATTAGTGCTGGAGCACTATTCTCGGTGGTTTACAATTAAAACAAACTACAGAGAACTAAACAGAGCACAAATAACAAAAACATAGCCTAAAAACGTAAACAATAGTGCAACCAATATTCAGATTGAGGCAAGACTGGAGGTGAGGCATTTAACTAGGGTCAACTTGAAAGGCCTCCAGGAATAGTACGGTTTTTAAAACTACCTCCAAAATGAGCACAGGGAGGGGGTTAAGCCTAGCTCTTCTAGGAGTTGATTTCATAATGTAGGTGCCATCATCGAGAAGGCCCTGCCTCTAGTACAGGGGTCTCCAAACATTTCAGTATGAGGGCTACATACCGAAGACAGCGGGGGTGGGGGATCACTTGGGTCCCCTTTCCCTCCTCTTCCTATGCCTGGGCCAGCTAAAATGGCAAGACGGGCCAGATGTGGCCCGCAAGCCGTAGTTTGGAGACCCCTGATCAAGTAGATGACTTTTGGGCCCCTCTTGGGGTGGCTACATGGAGGAAAGACAATCTGCTCAGTAATGTGGTCCCAAACTGTGAAGGGCTTTAAAAATCTGGGAGTGTCAGAACCTTGACTCTGATCTATCTGGGACACAATGAACCCACTGTAGTCTCTGGGTCAGTCTCAAGGGAAGCCCCACATAGAGAGCACTGCATAGCTGATCCAGGAGATGACCAGTGCCTGTACCAACTTCCTGAGGGAAGCCTTGTCTAGGTAGGGGTGGAGTTGAGCGATAAGCTTAAGCTGATGAAAAGCTGATTTGGACACTGCTACGATCTGGGAATCCCAAGAAAGAGCTGGGTCCAGAAGAAAGCCCAAATCACGAACTTGATCCCTAAATGGGATGTCAGTGCCATCCAATCTAGGGATGATTTCCTACGCAACCTTTTGGATGGCTTCCCCCAGGAACAGAATCTCAGTCTTGTCCAGATTCAATTTGAGCTTGTTTGTCCTGGTCCATTTCAGTACCAAAGCCAGGCATCATTCAAATATCTGGACGGCCTCCACTGCAGAGGTGGTCAAGGAGAGACAGAGTTGCATGTCCGTTAGCATACTGATGACGCCTTACTCTAAATCTCCTGACGACCTCCCCTAGAGGCTTAACATAGATGTTAAACAGCATTGGAGATACTGACGACCCCTGAGGGACATCACAATTGAGGGTCCAAGGGGCCAACAACTCATCCCTAAGCTGAACTCTATGGACACAGTGCTTGAGGAAGGACCTGAGCCAGCTTAATGCTAGGCCCCAGATTCCAATCTTTGAGAGCCTATCCAGGACACTGTGGTTGATGGTGCCAAAAGCTGCTGAGAGAAGAAGCAGCAGGGCAGAATGATCCCTATTAGCCTTCCTTAAAAGGTCACTGTGCAGTGTGACCAGGGTCATCTCAGTACCCTTTTGCGGCCTGAATCTAGTCTAGAATGGTTGAAAATAATCCTGTTCCTCCAGGTATGTCTGAAGATGGCTAGCCACCTCACCACCTGCTCAATCACCTTGTCTGTAAAAGGTATGTTGGTGATTGGATGAAAGTTATTAAGATCATCGGTCACCAACTGTGGGTGTTTGATGATAGGACATCTCTACCAGGTGCTTTTGTCAGATGATCAACAGGGCAGCACTCATTATTCTAAATTTGTTTAGCAAACATCTACTTCTGCTTGTTTACAAATTGGATTGATAAGATTTTATTTGTAAAAAAAGATCCATTTTATACCCAGACAGGAGAGGATGGACTAAAGGAATGTATCAAGCTGCTTGCACTCAGTACTGCTTATTATCCTGATGGGTAGAAGTTCTGAAAGGTCTGTAGCAAGATTCTTCTGTTGTGCTCCAATCTGAGAAACATTAATTGGAGATGCTCTAGATGGGGACTTCAACATTGCACATGCAAAACGTGTCCTCTTCCACTGAGCTATGCACCTCCCTAAGCACAGGGAAAGCAGGCAGTCTGTCCCAGTGATTGTAAAACCAATGTGTTGACCTCTGGCCCTCCACATCTTGCTGGATCACAACTTTTTGCATCCTTGACTACAGTCATGCCATTTGGGGCTGATGGGAGTTGACTTTCAACAGCATCTGACACATGACTTTTTTTTCACACCCTGCTATAAAAAGACCTGGTATTTTACAGCATCTGAAGATGTTTTGCTGTGCTGCCTTTAGATTTGTTTTGTTTTTCCACAACATGATATTGAACATTAGAATTCCAATCTTTCCCATGCTTTTTCTTTAAAACTGCTGCTCTCCAACTTATACAGTTGAAACAGATATTATCATCATGATTAGAGATAGGCATAAATCACTTTGTGCTGGGTTGTCCTAAGTCTTTGGTGCAGCACCCCAGATGCCACACATTCCCTTATCCCACCCACCTCCTGCCAGCTTCCCTACTCATAAGCCGGGACGCGCTGCTCATTCCTGCCTTGTCGCGCAATCTGCTACTCCCAGCAGGAGCTCAGACTTCCCTTCGCCTCCTCCTCCAGCAGCTGGCCACTCAAGGGCAGCGCTGCAGGAATCCCTGTCCCTCCTCTTTATCTGAATGGGCAGCTGCTGGAGGAGGTAGAGGAAGGAACTCCATGCTCCCGCTGGGACTCAAAGATCATACAACAAGGAGAAAACAAAGTAGCATGTGCCAGCTTGTGAGTGGGGGAGCTTGCTATGGGGTGGGAGAAGGGAACACACAGCATGCTGCCAATTTAGGACAATTCAGCATGATGTTTCTAATCATGAAACATAAAGACAGAGGAGTGCTTGTAAGTCCCCTGAGAGGTCTTTTTTTAAAAAAATTATTTCTAAAGATCATACAACAAGGAGAAAACAAAGTAGCATGTGCCAGCTTGTGAGTGGGGGAGCTTGCTATGGGGTGGGAGAAGGGAACACACAGCATGCTGCCAATTTAGGACAATTCAGCATGATGTTTCTAATCATGAAACATAAAGACAGAGGAGTGCTTGTAAGTCCCCTGAGAGGTCTTTTTTTAAAAAAATTATTTCTAAAGAAAAGACAATCCATAAGTCCCCTGAGAGGTCTTTTTAAAAAAAAAATATTTCTAAAGAAAAGACAATCCATCAGGTTATAAGTAATAAATACAAAGCTTAACATAGCAAACTGTCACCTTACTTGTTATATAATTTAACAGTTGACCAATTGCTATTCCCCACAATTCTCAAAATCACATTTACACCATTCATCTTAAAGAAATATCGACCAACATTCTAAATGCTCCAAGATTTATTTTATTGACATATTTTAATAAGGGCTTCCAATATTCAGTAAACTGACTGTCCCTTATTTCTCCTCTATATAGTCTAACTTTATTAGTCATTTTTTCCATCAACACTGTATGTCATATCTTATTCGTAAAAGCTTGTAATGAGAGATCTTGACCATTTTTCCAATTTCTAGCAATCTCAGATCTTGCGGTGCCTATAAGCTTTGCAACTAATTCTTTATTTTCAAGTTTCTCATTTCCCCCTGTAAATAATGAAAACAACAATAATGTTTCATTCACATCTAGTTTTTGATTGATCAGTGTCTCTATCCATCAATTACTTCGTGCCAAAATGCTTCTATTTTGGGGCAAGAAATCCACATATGTTCCAAAGTTCCTTTTTGTCCACAGTTCCTCCAACAATCATCCGATATATATTTATTAATTCTATGTAACTTGTAGCGTATAAATGCCACCGATGTGCTCCCTTCAGGACCTTTTCTTTCACATTTGCTGATATAGATTTACATGGGTATTTATTCCATATTCCTGTCCATATTTCCTCGGAAAAAGTTTTAGTGACAGTTTTAGGACCACAAAATTAAAGAACAATCCTAGTTGTCCTTGCTTTCAAGAGCTCCCAGTGAACCTCTGCCCCACCTAGGTCTATCCCTCTCTTGAGTGATTCTTAAATGCCCGCTCTCCCAAGAGTACTTCTTAATCTTTTCTCAAATTTTAAGCTCCAGTCCTAGTTATGTCTTTTACTCTCTTGTTCTTTCATCTTATTGCTCACTTGCCCCGTCATTTTCTGTCCTTTACTATGTGTGCATTCCCTTAATGTTAATCACACTATGTACAGAGTGATTAACATTTTAATGCATTAATCCATGGCAGGGGGAGGTGGGGATGCTGTGTCCCCCTCCCTCAACATCTTTTTCTTATTGGCTGTGCAGAATAAATGAAGCCCACCACATTCCCCTCCAGCTGGCACTATCTCAACCATCAGAACTGGTACATTAACTTAGTGGTATGGGCCGCAATTAGCACAGACTTCAGCCGACCTCTTTAGAAGTTGAGCTCTCATTCACCCTGAAGCCAATCCGTATTTGCTCTTTCTTCATTCAACAGAAAAGCCAGTGATCCAAGAAGCAAAACTGACCTAAATCCAATCATTAATCCCAAACAGAAACAGTGATGCAGCGGACATTTATGCAAGTGTTGATTTATCATTTGGAAACGGATCCAAAGAATCTGCTCTGCGTCTGTCTAGCAATTAGATTTAGGGTTGCTGAAGTAATCCCTGCCAAATCTCAAAGAGGAGGACAGATTCAACACCATATGGTTAAGAAACGTTTCACAAAGATTGGAAAGGAAGGCAGGAAGCATGCTTTCTCTAAAGAGGAAACCACAGAAGTGCTTCCGACTGTCCGTACTAAGCTATCAATGTTTCTAATGAGGTTCCAGCCCTGTCCAATGTTCTGAAATGTATCTTTCAAACCAAGCACTTTCGACATGTCAGTGGATGTTCAAATGCCCCCAAATAAATATAAAGAAACCCTAAAGTAGGGATGCAGGCATTCTCCTTTCGTTACTATTGAGTACATAAAATCCTAAGCAACATTTCAAACTGGTACCCACCGTCCCTTCAATGCATTGAACAATCTGATGCCATCTGCAGGACCACAGATCTGTATGACATCTTCCCTGGTTAATTTCAGTAAATCTGCCCCTGGGATTCAAAAAAGGGGGAGGAGAAACAGGGAGAGGTAAGAATAAAACATTTGTTCCCATTGTAACAGTCTTTGAATTGTACATATAGTATCTTCTACATAAATGCTCCCTCATGCAGAGGCTGGAAACCTCTGGCCTCCCAATTCCCATCCAAGCCTGCACCCCTTTATAGTCAAGAGATGATGGGAGCTGCAGCCCAGTAGCATCTGAAGGACCTACGGGTTCCCCTAATCCTTCCCTAAGGGAAGAGGTCTGCACACCTGTACGTCACGGTCTGTGACACATCCCCTAAATGAAAAAGACAAGCAGCTAACTTAAGAATACTCCCTATGGCTGCTATTAAGCAATTCCCAAATTATTGCATTTTGAAGGGGATGGGGTGCATGGCTTCCTTAAATATGGTGACAATTAGGAGATGGGGACTGTGAGTTTCATCCTCCCCTTCAGAGGGACAGATGCAGCACATCCATTGTCAACGTCATTCTCATGTCTTTGTGTCAAGCAGAATGTCAAGCCAATGATGGGATGATTGACAGATCTAGCAATTAGGGATGTACACAATGAAATTGTTTTGCATCTTTTCCAGTTCCTTTTTAAAAGGTGCTTCTTTCCTTTTCATGTTTTACATGGGCTGGCCCTTTTGTTTAACAGACAGACTGGCTCTTTTGAGTTATTTCATTCTGGGATTTCCCCATTTGTATTTCCTGGTGCTAGTCCAAATTAAGTTCTATAGAATCTTCAAAAGAGTAGAGAAACAAGGCAACAGTAACACAGTCTACTCCAAAAGCATGCCACTGTACACAAGAAAGAAAAATCATCATTAGATCTAGAGGGCAGTAGTTTTTATTATCACATTTACACAGTCCAGTGGCACAGTTACAAACATACCACCCAAAAAGCCCCAGCAAAATATATACCTTTCACTGAAAAAATACACAGTAAATTAGCCAAAAAGCAATTACTGTATAAGAAAATAATCAAACACTCCTACCACACACAGAATAGCAAATTAAAAACAAAAACCACACAACCTTCTCCCAAAATCCAAGAAAAACAAGTAAAGAGCCCAATCAAAAATCCTCCACAAACCAAAACTATTAGAATATCCCATCCACAAGAATGACTGAAGCAAAAGAGCCCTCTTCCTCACCAACCAACCAATTCAGGCAATTCCACAGATACAAAATTCCCACTCTATCCCTGTCGTTCTGATTGGTTGCTTATAGCAGCCTTTATGATGCTATTGGAAGAAAACGTTTCATGGCCAATTTGACAAAGGGTGAAAGAAAGGTTAGATGAAAGAGGGAAACACAAAATAACACAAAACTTCTGTGTACTCCTGTTTTAGTGGGAGTCATTCAAGCTTTAGAGGCCCTGTTTGGGGAATCAATGAAAGAAAACAAAAATGAAAAAAAAGAGCCTCTTCTGTTCTGTTTTTTTTTTTCCCATTTGTGTAAATATTAAAGGCCCATCCCAACTAGAAACACTTGGCAACCTACATCCAGTTTTTTAGGAAGTGGGAGAAAGAAGACAGACTGACAGATTACAAGGAGGTGGAAGGAATCCAAATGCTAGAGTTTCTGTCTGATGCAGGATAGGAGAAAGAGATTTCTGTTACTACCTGAGAAGTTTGTGAAAAGCCGTGAAAATGTGGAAAAGCGATTCCGGTGCAGCCACTGCTGAGCTTCCTGAGGTGTGGACGTTGGCAGGAGATTCTATGATTGAAAGAAACTGAGTTGCTACCTTATAAGAATACAATCTACATACAAAACTAAATAGATATTGGATTTTGTGCTTCCAAAAGGTAGGAAAGCAGATGAAATGAGTTCCTCCAAAATGCACATATATAATGTAAATGTTCTATAGCACTTGGGAGAGCCCTAAACCCAAAACCTCTTTGACTACATCTTATGCTCCATCTTAAGCTGTGGTCAATGCAGGCTGGATGCTTTTTAACACCAAGCCAAGCCTTTTCCCTCATTCCACATAACAGTCAACTTAATGGAGGGTCCTGGAGGACTGAAAGGTTTGCTCACTATTTTGTGATATTCTAGTTGGTCCTAATGTCAAGACTCCACATTTTATATGAAAAATACTGTTAAAATGCTGTAGGAAAGATCCGTAGAACAAGAACGTACTTCACTAGTGAAACAATGGTTTCTTCTCATCCTCTTAAGAGACATGGAGCATTTAAGCAAAATAATTTGATAACCAGATGAACTTAGATATGATTGACATGGTTATCTTATCTCACACTATGATTAACCATTCAAGGGATAAATGTCAGCTGCATTGAACCCCTACATATTCAAACTACCAAGGAGAATTATAATACTTTAGTGCACTGAGGACTCTGAGTGTCATACATTTGACCTTGACACTAATAAATGTGGATTTTGGAAGGTCACAAGTGCATATCAATTTTAAACTTCTGCAACTAGAGCAAGCCAGTCAGGGCAAAGTTCATTTTGGTGAGCAAGCTCAGAGAAAATCCAGCATCTGAAGCTAGGATGAAATGGGTGATGGAACACTAAATAAAAGACTTACATCTGCAATTGGAGCGGGAGGTTCTGGCTGGTGATTTGGAGACCCGTTTCTAGTTGTAAGACAAAGAAACAAGAAACAGCATCTGAGATGTCTTCCTTTCTACTCGCCATGCAGTTTGTTGTGGTCTAGACCAGGGGTCCCCAACCCCCGGTCCATGTCCCAGCAAAGGTCCACGGCCTAGGCAGGACCGGCCTACGGACACAGATCTCCTGCCCCTGTGAGAGTGCATGTGTGTGAGCATGCCACGCCCCCTGCTGGCGCACCATGCCCCTGCGAGCGTGCCATGCCCCCCTAAACCAGTCAGCATTTGGGAAAAGGTTAGGAACCACTGGTCTAGATGGCCATGGCTCACTGCTCTGGGACAGGCAAGAAGATCCTAAGGTCCCTCCTTCCTCCCTGCTGCTCTTGAACATCCATTTCTCACACTGGCCTTAATGGTGGCAAAGGCTTAGATGAGCATGAAATTAATAATGAACAACAAATAAGATAGAAGCCATGCTATAACCTTGCTGGCTTTTGTTTTTCACAATTGGAAGGTTCTTTGTAGGCTATATACTTTAAGCCCCTTGTTCAGTGGATAAGCAAAGGTGACATGTGTATTCAGGAAGAAGAAAGGGACCAAATACCCCCAGGGGATGGCTAAGGTTATGTTATGTCTTTCCACCAAAGATGGAGAACTGAAGAAATAATGGCAAGTTCTCCTTGTTTCTGTTTATGATTGGGAGGCAGCTTTCTTAGAACTGACAGCAATTGTGCTCCAAGACTTTGCCTTTTGGCAGAATAGCCATGCAAGTATAAAACAGAGGTAGGTTTAGGGAGGAAAACTAACAAAAGCCAAAGAAACTCCTGCAGCCCAGACTTACCCTTCGCTGATAGAGAAACTGCTGTGAGAACTGCTAAAGCCTGGGGATGGTACATTATTGACGTATGTGATCTCGGGCCACGGAGAGCACTGAAAGTGAAATAGTCAGTTGTGAAATATTCAGAACACACCACAGGGTTTCCACACCTCAAAGCTGCTTCTCCAATGCAAGGAAAAAAACACATTCCTGGGTATTTTTCATGCAAGCACAGATCTGGTGTTTCAGTGATCATCGGCTTCCATGTTCATGGAAAATATTTGAGAGCATGTAGAAGGAAATGTCACATGGAAATGGATCAGTGCCAGAATATGACTGAAGTACATTTTAAAGCAATGAGCAAACATGGATCTGTGTAGCTGAACTGCTCTTGTGCAACAAATTGAGTTAAGTCTCCACCCCTTTCACTTCTTTACTACTCTATCTCACAGGAAACAAAGTCAGTACACCTATTTTCTTTGGGGCAAATTATCCATGTTTCCTTAAAACATCACTGTCTGCTCTCTGTGTACTCACAGAATGCATGCAAGCCCTGACTAAAACTGCTGTTTTGTAACTTTACAGGAAACAAGGTTTATTCAAAAAATTAGCTTAGCATCAAAGGCCAGTGCTTAATCTTCCATTTCAGTCAACAGGGAGGGATTTTTTTAAAGCTACCCCAAATGAATGGTGCTTTTGTTTTTAAAAAGATGGCACTAAGAGCCATGGCATTTAGGAGAATCTTTGGTGTTAGAGTCACATGCCAGTTGAGATACTTAAAAGAAAGATAAAAGGATAGATTTTTCCCCCTTAACACTTTCAGTTCATCTTTATGAATGCAGTATGGATTCTAACTGGATAATGACTCAGAACAGATTTCCTCTCTCTATGTGGGGCTTCACCTACTTCTCAAGTTTTGCATCGTTGGCATTGATGAGAACATGTTTTTTGCACACAAAGGATTAATGGACTAGGAGTGTGTCACAGGCGTAGGTTAAGACTGCATGCACAGATGGCTAGCAACTTTGTTCCAAGTGAGACTCTCTTCATGCTTTTTCCTTGTGGATTGCTTAAAATATACCCTCTATGCTTGCCTATACAAGGACTAAGTTGTGCCTCTGTATTTTTTCTGCTTGAGGCCACCTCAGAAACTGGTCTGTTTTGCCTAAGGCAAGATATCTCTTGCACAATTCTAATTAATCTTACTTTTTAATTGCACAAGCAGAAACTCAGCTTGGTTCCTACTGGAAGGCTGTTGGCCCATTACCTCCAGCCAAGATCCCAGTCTCACTTTTTAAACATATTTTTTGTTCAAAAATGTGTTGTGGATACCTTGGGACACATATTGTCTCACCTCTGTAAGGATTGTAGTCTCATATGAAGGTTGATACTTTTCTTTCTCATGAGGCGTTCGCTTCTCCATTTTCTCCCTGTCTGTCTTTTGCTTCCGGTCAGCTCCTTTGGGCTGGAAACCAGACATTTTAGTTAAAGAGTAAAGAGTACAAAGTAAAGGAATGGAGTAAATGGAAGCACCAGGCAAAAGTAATTCTGAGTTGATTAAAGGCAGTGCCAGACTTATTGAGGCTATGCTATGAAAATTGGCAAGATTAAGCAGGGAGTCGAGAAGCCTCTGAGGTTATACCATAGATCTGCCACAGGCTAACTTTCAGATGCTTCATCTGAAGCACAGGAGAAAATAATGGGTAAAGCTCCCCTAGGCTGATTCAAAACATCTGTTTCCTTCCCATGTCTGCCAAAGCTAATAACATTAGGGAAGAAAGGGTGCCATCAACCAAAGCATCCAGAGGTGTAACTTTTTCCAGCAATGATTCTGGATCCCTGGATTCAGACAAACTGGCCTTTTCCATAAAGGCAACCTTTGGGCAAGTCCTTGACTCAAGTAAACCATCAGACCCTACCAGCCTTTCACAGATGAAGAAAGTTGTTCTCTTTGTGAGGCCTCTGTGGTCTTTGGTGAGATTGTTGTGCATACCTTCATTACACTGCTGTTGTTACACTTTACTGAAAAATTAATTTTAGTCACTTTTTATGCCTCAGGGCAGCCATTCTCTCTCTCTCTCTCTCTCTCTCTTGTGGCCATGGTGATAAAGACAATATGAAAGAAATACAGGCTGAATCAAGACTGTATAAATTTTGTAATGAACATTATAAAGTGATTCAGATAGGCGGGATATAAATTAAATAAACAAATAAACAAATAAAGTGGTCAGTGAAGAATTGTTTCCAGTCTGTGGCCCCCTTCAAATGTTCCAGGGTCCTCCTTGTGGCTGCCTTAGGGAAGCTGTAAGTTCTCTTTTTATAAATCCTTGATGGGTGAAAGAGAAATAAGTCTTGTGCTAATGAAAAGGTACCACAAGTATAACTAAGAGTAAGATGTTCTATGTATTCTGCAGTAATTATGTTATGTTTAAAGAGAGAGAAAAGAAGTATTTCTGAAAGGTTCTAGTTAGAGACTTCTAGCCAGTCTAGTGCCCTAAGGGGACCAGCAAACTGAGAGTGACATTCACTTTCCTTTATAGGGGTTTAAAAGGTTATACTGGAAATTAATGCAAACATGAAAAACCTGTTCTGCTGCCGTTTTACAATTTGCACCTTCATGCTGAAGCCCTGCAGATTTTTATCTAGGCAAGCGCTATGGAATCTATTCCAGTGCCTATAAGCAGGAGTGCTCTCCTTGGACAGCAATTACACACAAAAGCCTAGCTTTCCTACATCCTAGAAGTCATTTATATTGGTCTTGGGGATTCTAGGCCAAACTAGATGAAACAGCAGCTAACTGATTTCTTTAAAACCCCAAGTAACTGCCTGGCCACCACATGAACAGAATGCTGGACTAGATCGGCATTTGGGTTTAATCCAACAGAACTTTTTCTCATGTTCTCAATGCCTGGGGTGGTGAGCAGAATGGAGGCTATAAAGGCATAAGTGATAGGGGATGGGTTCATTTTCCTTCACATAGGCATACCATTTGTTCTTTTAAAAAAAAGAGAGAGCCTGTTTTCTGTCCAACTGGCTCAGACTAGATGAAAAGAAAATGAGTCTGTTGTGGTTTCATGTAACACAGAACACAAGTCATGTTCTGAACTGAATCAAGACCATCATCTCTCACACTTTCACAATTTCTCACAAAATGAAGATTGTCAAGGAAGTAATCCCATACTGTACAAATCATCTTGCACATCCATCAGCTGCATTTGCACAAAACAATAAATCAGAATTGCTGAAAATCCTGACTTATTATTCACAAATCACATGGAAATGCATAGCACCTGATCACTCTTGTTTTACTCCTTCTAAGTGCAGGAATGACTTGATAAGCCAAGGGACACACCAGCAAACAAAACAAGCCAGGTATCAGAAACCAATCACAAACCCTGGCTCAGATGTTGGCTTGGTAGGGAACGATGAATCAGACATCCTAGTTCAGATGCACAACTAAGATTTTGCCTCCAGCGATGTTCCTGTCTTGTTCAGCCACTCCCTCTTGGATCCTCTTACTGGTACATGTCAGTGGTAAGCCATGATTCTTAGCTATTCTAGCTTATTATATAAGAACGAGGTCACTGTCCGTTATCTCAGAGCTTGTGTAGCCCAGATCTACCTACTGAAAGAGGAGTTAAGAAATGATTGGGGAAAGAAATATCTTGTGTTGAAATGATTCAGTACGATTTTCTGCAGGTTGGCTTACCTCATCCGCAAGGCCAAAACTTTTTCATTTAATAAGCAATTAACGGAGGAGGGGTTGGCGATATGGGTGTGAAGGAACTTTCCACTGTCATGGACAAATCACTACCTGGTGGGGTTGAGACCCACTGTAACAGAGCCGCCACAGTGGTGGGCAACCTATTAAGATGGATGCTCCAGAGGCTGATGGATCCAAATAATTTAGTGACAGAACCTGAGGAGTTTCCTGTCACCTCAGCAGGCGATCATGTTGAATACCTGGTTGTCTTCTGGAAGAGGCAAGCATGCAAGGCAACAGACACCACTGCTCCTAAGTGCCCCCTCCCACAGAGTGGAGCCAAACTAGCCTTCTGGTTTACAATGGAGCTGTGCATGATAAAATGAGTGGGATGGAGATTAGAGATGATGGGCACCATCCAGGCTTTGGTGGTGGCCTGGTGTGCTTTGGCACGGTTAAAATTAGTGTGCTAGCTGCAACTATTCCTGGAGATTTAAAATAATCGAAGGAGACCTTTCTGTTGGCCACCCTCATAAATGCTTTGGAAAGGATGAGAAAGGGTCTTCTCTGTTGCTGCTACCAGTGATGAAACTCCCTCCCACGAGAGGCCAGGCTGGCCCATTCTTTGCTGTCCTTCCACAAGCAGTCAAAAACCCTTATCTTCAGGCTTTTCCTCAGTACCTAGTTACCAGAGATAGGTTACTTGTCTTAAAAACAGGACTATGTTGTCGTTCTTGTTTATTTTTTGATTGGGTTTAAACTGTTTTTATCCACTAGTTTTTTAACTGATATCTGTTTAATTATTTTTTAAACACTGTAATCATTTATTGTTCATAATTTAAAAAACCTTGTGTCTTGTTCAAGTGAAAGGTAGGGTATGCATATTTTAAAGTAATAATGTCCCAGACAGATACCACAAACTCATTGACATTAGAACTCAGTCTTTGCTGAGACAGCAAAGTTTCATATAGAACAGTGCAATGGATAGCTTTAACTGACATTAGAACTAAGTCTTTGCTGAGACAGCAAAGTTTCACACGCCATATAGAACAGTGCAATGGATAGCTTTAAGGTGTGCAATTGTCCCTAACAATATGCATATGGAGATAACAGGTGAGGTATCTTGTTTTCTGTTTCTGGAAATATTTTGCTAACCTCTCTGTAAATCCTTTTTATGAATCAAGTTTTTCTGAATAAGTCACCTGCACTACCCAGTACTGTTTTACCATGGATGTGAACTGCTAACAGTTACCGTATTTTTCGCACCATAAGACGCACTTTTCCCCCACAAAACAGGGGGGTGGAAAGTCTGTGCGTCTTATGGAGCGAAAAATACGGTAAGTCTTAATACTAGGCACCTTGGGCACAGGCCCACATGGTAGGAAATGAAAGGGCAGCACAGCTATACCTTGAAGACTTTGATCTGACAGCTGGCAGAATGCAAGTGTTCTGTGTATTCCCCATTCTCATTCTCCTTAAAAGTGTCAATCTGGACTCGGAACGGCACGCCCTTCTCTCCACCATGCTTCCTCATAGTGAACTCTGTGCTGATGCAGTGCACCTGTAAAAGAGATGTCCAAGAAGATATGGCAGACAGCCTAAACGTTTTAAAACATTTAAAAAAATGTATTTAATTAGAGATGAACTGCCATTTTGGCAGTTCATCCTAGTTCGTGGTTCATCAAGGCTGACAAACCATGAACCATGAATTTCATGGCTGTGAGCCAACAAACCATGAATCGGTTTATTGAGGGGGGGAGAGGGCATTGTTGTTTTTGACAGCCTCAGGATGTCTTTAAAAAAGTTGAGCCCCCACCCCTGCAACCTGCCCCACTGCCCCTGTCGCCTCCCTACGTTGGCTGGTCACACCCACTGTTTCCCTTACAGCAGACTGCTCTTGGTTAAGATGGTGGCAGAGGCCATGGCGGCACAGCCCACAGCAGTGGCCAAGGTAGGGAAGGGGAAGGGGGACAGGCTGTGCGGGGGGGGGCTATCTGCCTATGGACCCACCAACCAGCTGTTTGCTGGGCCCATGGGCAGAGTGGGAAGGCCCATAGGCAGAGAGGGGAAGCTTACAGGCAGAGGGGGAGGCTAGCCTTCCCTCTCTTCTTATGGGGAACAAATAAAAATGGAGAAATATTTGTCCACTTGTATTCATCGGGGGTCTCTGCAATTAATGGATACAAAGGGACAAAAATTAAATGAATCAGAGATTTTAGAGAAATACTATAATATATATTTTTTAAAAATCATCCTTATCTCTATTTTTAATCTATGTTCAAATAATGTACTTACCCTTTTTTCCACTGGTAGGCAAAAAAAGCAACTAGCAAATATTCTGAACCAGAGTACAAAAGATTAGTTGCCCAAACAAAAGAAGCTACAAAATAACGATTGGCCTCTTTGTCTCATCAATTCACTGCACCTGAACTCTTGAGATAAACTATATGTATATGTACCAGCCAAAGAGAAATTGTCACAAAACCCGAAAGAGCAAGAAGACGACTCTATGGATTTGAGTCTCGGAACAACAGAAAATAGGCAGAAAACTGGAAACCATGAAACCATATGCTAACCATTATTAAACCTGAAGAGGGAAGACAGCAAGAACAGCAGCCAGGTTTGAGTGGCGGGTGCAGGTCAGACAGCAGATTTTTTTTCTGATGCCTTTATCATGATTCAGAGACTAGGAAATGTTACACTAAGTCCCTGGAGTTGAAAGGGGCGTGTTTAGGGTCCAAGGAAAACAAGCTGGATTACTGGGCCCTTTTCTTTGCTTAGCTAAACCTAATACTTTTACAAGTAATCCTTCTGGTAAGTACAACTTAAAGCGTCAGTAAGGAAAAGCTACAACCTAGCCCAGCAAAACAGCTAAAATGAACACAAAATATTTAGACTAAATTTCTGTTACCCAGATCATTAACAGACTTTGCAGCTGACCTTCATCAGTTAATAGTTTTGGCACCATATGTATAACAATGATCTATTTCAACAAGCTCCAGAGCCCAAGGAGATCGTAAACAGGAGGCATAGTTCCCTGACTCCTCTAAACATATAAGTGATTGATCAGAAATCCCCAGGAGTAATCCTCACACCTTCATTCTAATTCTAGACATAACCTCTGCCCTTCTGAAGTGATCTGCCCCCATCCACTTTGCCAACATTTGTCTTGCCCCATCATATACAGACTGGACTGAGTTCAAGTCAGGATTATTGGAACTTTCCTCCTCATCCCCTCAAACGTTCTGCAATATTCTCTCAGTGCCAAAATAAATGGCATGCATTTCCTCAGAACTTCCGCATGGTCTTATCAGGGGCAATTCACATGGCTCTTTCAGTTCAAGGATTCTCAAAGTTCATTATAGAGAGCCTCCCGTGCAGAATGACAGCCTGTTGGGCCAACGTAAGTAAAAGAGAAAACCTGACTGCCTTTCACTGGTGCTGAGAGAACGAAACTTCAGATGCCCAAGCACTGTGGTTTTCCCCACCCCTGCTGCCTGGACTAACACTTAGCAAGAATTTAAAAACACAATGCAAACTTGAAACTCATCTGAAAGCTAAACATTCAAAATGAATTCATTGTGACTGTCCAGGAGACAAGCCGTTCAGACGCAAAGAAGGAGAGGAAGACTACAAAGACCTAATTCCTTTCCACCCTCCAAATTCCTTGTCACATTTGGCTGTAAAAACCATTCACAACCAGGTCTACAATATGGGCAATTCTATAACATTGCCAGATGCACACTGACCCAACATTTCAGACACTTTCTAGGCATATTTTTTCTTGTAAACACAAAAAATGTAAAAAACCCTGAAATGTTACTGTCCCAGCCTCTCTCCAAAAAAACCTCTTAAAATTTATTTTTTTTTAAAAAAAAAAGCTGCCATTACCTTCTTCCCCCAAAAGTATAACATACTGAGACAAAGAAATGTCATTTTCTGGCACACCATGAAGCAGAAGTGACATGTTTATTAAGATGCTTTCAATTGACAAAAACATAAAACTTCTTTCATAGGAGAAGAAATCTAGAGTTCATGCAGATTAAAAAAAACCTCCCAAGAACCACAATGCAAGAAGCATACAGTACATCTAATGTTATTTTATTTAATCTGATTGCAATTTAGTCTTATTTCATCTTACATTCTCTGACACTGGGAAATTGGGTGAAACACACTTTCCAGTGCATATTTCTGCACACACTACTTTGAACATAAGGCATTCTTATCCCTGCAACACAACAGAATTCTCACTGAGGTTAGAGAATAAACACCCCACCACTCACACAGTGCAAGTTTCTTAGGCTAGGGCATAAAAATTAAGGAAGCACCTAACTATAAAACATAAGATTGCTCCTTCATTGCTCTGACATATGGACTTGAAGTCTTGCAGTGTTACATGGCAATTGGATCTGAAACCAGAATGTTAATCAAGGTACAAGGGGAGGCATTGTGAAGAGATCACACCTGCCGTGCTAGCATCTTTCTGAGCTAGCGAATTCAGACTCTGAGCGCTAATGCTTTAGGCTGACAATCAGCTGCACTTCATTTTCTGCATGTGTTACCAGTGCTAACAGAATAGACATGTACTCTGTCTTAGACAGTTATGAGGTTAACAGGAGCAAAGCACATAAAATAAAGCTCAAAGTTGTCTTATTTGCTATACAGCATAGATAGGGAGCCTCCAACTCATGGGATAAATGTGCCCCCCCCAAGGGTCTTCCCTCAGCCAGTAAGAATTCCAGCCAGCCTTGCCACCTCCCCTGTCCTTGGCCATGCTCTGTGCCCTCAGCCTCACTCAGTGCTGGAATTCATCCCCCATATTCAGATAGTTTCCACGCTCTTGTTAAAAAGCTTAGCACAGAGAACAGAAGAATACTTCCGTGTGTTCTTGGTTACCTGAATAAATACGGATGTTCTCTTTGAAGGATCCCAAAGAAATTCCACAGTGTTTAGTTGCGTTGGGTTTGCCCTGGGATCAATGATACCCACGGACATTGGAATATCTGCAGAAGACAAAAGTTGCACATACTTTAGAACAAGGCTAGGCAAGGGACAAGAAGCCCACTGGAATGCTAGGGGCCTACTATATCAACTAACATGAGAACTTGAAGAACTGGATAGTTCAGAGTATGTTTTATGATACATGCACCTTGTTGAAGCTGAGATCAGGGTCTGGTCAGACCAACTAGGAAGCCCATGTAAGCTATCTTGAGTTCCATGATGGAAAGTAGGATATAAATTATTACTAAGAATCTAGGAAACTGAAGCAATTCAGAAGCATAGGAATATAAAGCCAGAAGCAACTAAAAATCCTTCTTGTCTCCTAAATCTGCCCAAAGTTAGGACATATAGCCAATATCTCCCACTATAGAGCAAGCCTTACTGTCTGGGTGGCAACAAATCCTAAACAAACTATAGATCTCTTCCAAAAGGAAGTTTACACAGCAAACAACTCAAGATGCTCTGTGCAAGCGAAAAAACATGCAGTCACAGGGAAAGACAGCCTGGGGTGAGGAATGAAAATGCTATTCTGGTTTGTGGAAGACAATTCCTCCTCTACCACTCCTATACAGCAAGAAATCAAATTTCAAGCAGGGACTAAAACCATTCCAAGAGTGATTTATTATCTTAAAAATTCCACGTCTCTAGTGGAAATTGCCCCCGAAGCCCTTCCAGGTGTATTTTACTAAGGTTGCAATGTTAAATTTCAGAAGCTACTCACCAATATCCAGGATTCTGTCTCCTGGCCTGTTCCACCTCCAGCCTTCCAGCTGTTGATGTTCAGTATACTGAAGCCGTCGATCATGAAACACCACTCGGAATATACTCTAGGCAACAGTAAGAGTTTCTCCTTGATTACACTGTATATTGTGGAACTCAGTTCTTTCAGATGAAATCAAATTAATCAGGAGAGGAAAGTAAGAAAAAGAGCTATTTTGGATTATTTTCTGGTTGTTCTAGAGCAGCATCTTCATATGACTGATCTGGCATTATACTGATGGGTTATAAAACTGGATGTGATTTTAGTATGGTGTAGGCAATTCACATTCAAAGTCTCATTCACATGCAACACGGATTATCAGAAGACTGGAAAACAAGCCCTATGAGAAAGACTGAAAGAACTGGGCATGTTTAACCTTGAAAAAAGAAGACCGAAGGGAGATAAGATAGCACTTTTTAAATACTTGGAAGGGTAGTCAGACAGAGGAGGGACATGATCTGTTCTCAATCATCCCAGAGGGCAGGACAGAGTAGACACGTTCTAGATGAACGGTATATAAATCTAATCAATAAATCAATCATGTATTAATGAGTTCAAATGACAGGAAGACAGATTTTGGCTGAGTATCAGGTAAAGCATTTTAGAACTGTTAGAGCAGTACAACAATGGAACCAATGACCTCAGGAGGTGGTGAGGGTTGCAAGGCTGGAGGCATTCAAGAGAAAATGGGACAACCATCTGTCAGATCTGCTTTGACTTGGATCCCTGCCTTGAACAGGGGGTTGGACTCGATGGCCTTACAGGCCACTTCCAACGCAATTATTCTATGATTTCTGCTCATAGCTAGGAGGACATGGACCTATACTGTACTGAATGTAAAACCTAAAATCCAAAATAAACTGTAAAGGCTCAAAGTACTGTATGTTTAACCAGCTAGGTCATGCTTATGGGCACATCACTTGATCCATCTTCTGCATTACTGTCCATCAGCAGAAAATGTAAGCAGTTTTTTTCTAAGGCAAGATGAGAGTTCTACCCGTGTTTGAACTACAATAACCACCCATACTTCCAACCTATCATTTGATGTTTGAAATGATGAAGAGATGACCGCGGAGGAGAGCCATCTCTTAAATGATTGGAAATCCCTGAAAGCACGTGCTTTTCTAGGGAAGGAACTTTAGTTTAAAAGCAAAAGGAAAAAACATGGAAAAGACTATTCTCCCCCACCCTCCAGGTTCTTCTGCTGACTCTCAAAAAGAGAACCTCTTAAATACATAGGATCCATATTCATGAAAAAGGGGGTACATGAACATTCTATGTTTTGTTTTACATTTTGCTTTCGTCTGTCAAATCCACTGGGAAAGTTTTCAGCCTACAGCATTGGGAGGGCTGCTATAAGTAAGCCAGTGCTGCAGGTGCCTCCTTCACATTTCACCAGTCGCTCACGGGAAGTGGGGCCACTACTCCCCAGCTCAGTGCTTGGCAGTGACAACAACAGCAGAAGGAAAAGGGGGCTGCTGTAGGACGAGTCTTGGAAGCAGCTCTGGTGTTGACTGAGTGCTATGCTTTTGTGGAATCCACTATAAGAGGTTCCATGTGCCATTCTTTCCTTGCCACACCTTCTTCTTCCCATTCTGACCAGCCGAGTGTTGGATTTCAGCCATCTTCACTGTTAAGAGGGCCCTCATTCTCTTTGCTGCATTTCTCCCCACCCACCCCCAGCCAGAAGACATTTTCAGACAGGTCTAGGCTAGAGTTTCTATAACGGACATAAATGAGGAAAGCAGAACAAAAGGACCTGGAAGAAATGACCCTTTCCATGTTGAACAGAAGGACCGGTGCACAAAAAACCCCGAAACTAAAGAAGCACCCTCCTAAAAGAAACTGAAATGAAACAAAACAAACATTTTTGCCACACATATTCCCAGAGCCTTTTACAGCCCTGACCACTCATAATCAAAAGGGTGAGGTGTTCTTTTTGTTTCTTTTTTTAAATAAAAATTAACAATGCCAATATTAACCAGTACATGCATTCATATATTTCTGTGCTTTTCCTCCCTCCCTTCCTCTATCCTCCACAGCAGAGTCATATCCAAAATCTATATGATGCTTCTTTCCCAACAAAATAATACTCCTATTCCAAGGATGTCATAAAGATGAACAAATCCTTTGTGCTTTGGGGCAGCAGTCCCCAACCTTTTTAGCCCTGCGGACTGGCTGGTGAAGGCGAGGGACCCCCCTGTGTGTGCGTGTGTGTGCGAAGGAGCGCTCTTTCGGGAAGGCACATGCTCGTGCGCATGCGCAAAAAAGGACCCCCCTGTGCGTGTGTGTGTGTGTGCAAAGGAGCACTCTTTCATGAAGGCACATGCTCGTGCGCATGCGCAAAAGAGCAAGGGGCACTCATACGGGCACATGCACACTTGTGTGCATGCACAAAGGGCGGCGCGGTATTCGCAGGCATAAACGGGCTGTGCAGGGGGGAGTGCATGAAGGGGTGAGGGGCGGAGGTCTGTCTCCGCGGCCCGGTCTGGCTCACGCCACGGACTGGCACAGGGGTTGTGAACCTCTGCTTTGGGGAGTCCCTTGTTGTCCATTCCATTCACGTAAACAACAACAGGCTGCCAATTTGTTGCAAAAGAAGCCAAGTGTTTTATCCCTTTAGCTATGTGCCATTTGGCGATTCCTTTGTCTTGCAGTGTTATCTGCTATACCATGCTGTGATTGATACTGACTTTATATTCTTCCACTTCTTAGCTTCCAAAGTCAACTTTAGTAATTGGGAACAGTGCTTTCTCACAGCCCTTGAACTAAAGAGCTCAAACCTCAGAAACCTTATAATTATGGGAAGCCAACATATTGGAGTCACTTCAGAGTGCAGTGTGGGAGGAAGAAGCTAGGAAAGATAGCTGGTATCTCTAAACTCTGTGTATTCTTGCCACCTCTTCTTGATGTCTTCTGCTTCTGTTAGGTCCCTCCCATTTTTGTCCTTTATCAGGTCCATCTTTGCACAAAATGTTCCTCTAATATCTCCAATTAGAGGAACATTTTGTGCAAAGATGGACCTGAT